CTCTCTCTTTCTTTCTCATTCATGTTTTTTACATCATCACTAAAAAAATTTCTGGGTAAGTTAAAATATTTAATATGTATTCTTTTTTATCTTTTATCTTCTTTTTTTTTTTCAACAAATCTTTTCATTCCCCTCTCATTAGAAGTTTACAGTTGTCTTTTTTCTCTACTCCATACTCATTATATAATTTCAATATGAATACACTTTTATTCTAGTGAAAATTTTGTTGGAATATTGAATTTGGATTTTCTAAATTAGGTTCTATGATTTTTATTTTATTAACTTTTGTTATTATAAATTTGTGTATATATATTTATATATTTTGTTTGTGAGTTGTGACTATTTTTATTTATATTGTTAAAAATGGCACTTTTTAATTTTTTTACCTAGGCCCCAAATTAGATTGTCCCTATACTCAAACAGTTTTGGGGTGAAGTGCAAATCATGTTGAATGGGTCAGCTTGGAAGTTAAAGGATGTGAGACACATCCCTGACTTGAGGAAGAATTTGATTTTGGTGGGACAATTGTCAGATGAAGGTTTTGTTACAACATTCAATGGAGACTCGTGGAAAGTTTCCAGAGGCCCTATGACCATTACACGTGATAAGAAATATGGCACTCTCTACACAACTACCAGTGCTTGTGGGTCTATAACAGTTGCAAAAAACAGAGAAGATCACAACCTTTGGCAACAGAGACTGGGTCACATGAATGAAAGGGGGCTCAAGATTATGCATTCAAGGGGGAAACTACCAGAGATATGGGCAATTGATATCGACTTCTATGAGAGTTGCATGATGGGCAAACAGAAAAGGGTCAGTTTCAAGAAGAGTGACAGAAATCTCAGAAGAGAAACTTGAGCTAGTTCATACAGATGTTTGGGGGCAGCCACTGTCACATCCATTAGCGAAAAATACTACTTCGTGACTCTCATTGATGATCACACGAGGAAGGTATGGGTTTATTTTTTGAAGCACAAATCTGAGGTATTTGATGTGTACAAGAAGTAGAAGGCCATGGTGGAGAATGAGATAGGTTTGAAGATCAAAAGGTTGAGGTCAGACAATGGTGGTAAGTATGAAGACACCGGATTCAAGAAGTTCTATTTTGATAATGGGATCAGATTAAAGAGGACTGTGCAAGGAACCCCACAGCACAATGGGGTGGCAGAACGAATGAACAGAACATTGACAGAGAGAGCCAAAAGCATGTGCATACATTCAGGTCTACCCAAACAGTTTTGGGTAAAAGCAGTCAATACAGCATCCTACCTAATTAATCGTGGACCATCGGTGCCTTTGGAGTATCGAATACCAGAAGAGGTATGGAGTGGCAAAGAGGTAAATCTTTCATGGTTGAAAGTTTTTGGTTGTATTGTATATGCGCATATTAGTGACCATGCTAGGGGAAAGCTCGACCCCAAGTCACTAAAATGCATCTTCATTGGGTATGGCGGAAATGAGTTTGGCCATTAACTTTGGTATAATCAGAACAAGAAAATTATCAAAAGTAGAGATGTGATTTTCAATGAGAAGGTGATGTACAAGGATAGAGACACAACACAATTAACTAGTCCTGTACAGAGTAAGCTTGAGTTTGTTGAGTTGGATGATGATCCAGAGAGCATTGACGCGGAGCAGACAGATGAGGGTTCTTGGCCAGAACTCATAGAGCATAGTTTACCGCAGATTCCAACTCTTATGCCTGCACCCAAAAGGTCTACGCGACCTCATGTACCAAATAGGAAATATTTAGATTATATGTTACTCACAGATGATGGTGTGCCTGAATGGTATGATGAAGCATGTCAAGTTGAAGATGCTAGCAAGTGGGAGCTTGCAATGGAAGATGAGATGAAATTCCTTATCTTTAACAAAACATGGGAACTAACCAAGTTGCCCATGGGGAAGAAAGCTCTTCACAACAAATGGGTGTACAGGGTAAAATAAGAACATGATGGTTTCAAGAGATACAAGGCGAGATTGGTGGTCAAAGGCTTTCAGCAAAAGCAAGGCATTGACTACACAAACATTTTTTCCCCGGTTGTGAAACTAAGTACCATTCGCTCAGTTTTTAGCATTGTTGTAGGAGAGGGGTTGCACCTTGAGTAGTTAGATGTCAAAACTGCTTTCCTCTATGGTAAGCTAGAGGAGGAGATTTACATACAACAACCAGAGGGTTTCTCAGTCAAAGGGAAAGAGAAACTAGTGTGCAAGTTGAAGAAAAGCTTATATGGTTTGAAGCAAGCCCCGAGGCAGTGGTACAAGAAGTTTGATGGTTTTATGAAGCGACATGACTATAACAAGTGCAACGCTGACCATTGCTGCTACTTCAAGAGGTTTAAGTCAAGTTTCATTATCCTTCTACTTTATGTTGATGACATGTTAGTGGCAGATTCTGATTTTGAAGAAATCAGCAAATTGAAGAAGCAGTTGTCTAGTGAATTCGAGATGAAGGATCTTGGTGCAGCAAAGCAGATTCTAGGGATGAGGATTAGCAGAAACAAACAGAAAGGTACTTTACAGATGTCTCAGGCTGAGTATGTTGAACGGGTTCTGAAGAGGTTCAACATGAATAATGCTAAGGCGGTGAGTATTCCCTTAGCTAATCACTTCCGATTATCTCAAGTTCAGTGTCTGAAGACAGAAAATGAGAAAAACTTAATAGCCAAAATCCCATATACCTCAGCCATTGGAAGTTTGATGTATGCCATGGTGTGCACAAGACCAGACATTGCATATGCAATGGGAGTAGTAAGCAGGTTCATGAAGGATCCAGGCAAGCTACACTCGGAAGCAGTACAGTGGATATTGAGATATCTACGGGGTACCACAACAGATGCTTATGTTTCAAAAGGGGCGAAATGAAGCTACATGGTTATGTAGATTCAGACTTTGCTAGTGACGTGGACCACAAAAGAAGTACTACCAAGTATGTGTTCATGGTAGGTACAACTGCAGTTAGTTAGGTTTCGCAAATACAGAGGATTGTAGCGTTATCTACTACAAAGGCAGAGTATGTGGCAATAACAAAGGCCAGGAGATGATTTGGTTACAAGGTTTGTTGATAGAGTTGGGATTCGAACATGTGAATAATGTTTTGCACAGTGATAGTCAAAGTGCGATACATTTGGCAAAGAGTTCAGCATTTTATTCAAAGACCAAGCATATAGAACTTCAGTATCACTTTATCAGATCTTTATTAGAAGATGGGGTGTTGACACTTGTGAAAATACTTGGCACCAAGAATCCGGCTGATATATTGACCAAGACAGTGACCATGGAGAAAATGAAGTTGCGTGCAACTTCAGTCGATCTTCTAGCTTGAAGACAGAAAGAAGCACACCAATATGTATGGGACACGTATGAGAAGAATATGGAATGGGTTTACAGGTGCTCCAGCCTCCAAGTGGGAGATTGTTATAGTTTTGTGGAGTCTGATTATTTTTTAGGAATGTTTAATTATTTGGAAACTCCAACACTGCTGAATTTTAGGGAAAATTCAGTTTTCTGATCTGATTTAACTTCCTTATTGGTTTTGGATTCTACAAAAGGTAAGTTCTTTTAGGATAAGTTTGGGACTTTATAAATATCAACTCTAATCAGATTTTAGAGGGGGGTGAAAGTTAGATATAAATTTGTGCCAATACAAGAGAGAGCAATTGAGAGAGATTGAGAGAGAATTCTCTATTGTAATTCTTTATCTTTTTCATACTGAATTTGTTCAGTGTGCTCCATGGACGTAGTCCTATGATTTGGGTGAACCATGTATATCTTATGTTCTTGTGTGTGACTTTTTATTATTTTTCGTGATTACTTGTTTATTCCTTAAACAGTGTTACTTATTTTGTGTTTTCGCCGCAACAATTGGTATCAAATCCGGTTGATTATGCAGTGCAACTCCAACACGAATATGTGTATACTAACTCCACTGTAAATGGTTTTTATTAAATAAATCCCAATAGTTGTTCAAACTATATAAAGATTTCAAGCCTAGCCAAGTTAATGGGTGGCAATTTAAGCCCAAATGTATTAAACTGTCCAAACTCGTCCATTAAAATTAAATTGTTTGGGCACCCAAATTTAAGTGAATGGGTAACTATGGATACAAAGTGGATACCCATACAACTCAATGGTTAATGATGTGTTAAGAGTGGGTACCCATCTTAACCCGCTCAAACAAAACCCTCTTTTCTTTCTCCTCCCTTTCTCTCTCTTCCATCTCTTCTGCCTCTTTGCTTCTCGTTTATTTTTTCATTTCTTTTCACCTTTTTTTCTCTCTCGTTTCTCCCTGTTCTCTCATCTCTTCCCCCTTTTTTTTCTCTCTCTTCCCTTTCCTCCCAGCTTTTTTTTTTTTTTTTTTTTTGGTGCATTCCCCCACCTCGCTACTTCTTTCTTCTTCTTTTTTTTCAAGCGTTCTCTCTCTTCGCTGGTTCTTTTCTTTTTTCTTTTTTCCCTGCAATAACTCTCTCTCTCTCTTCACTATTCCTTCAAATTTTGTTTTATTATATAAAATAAATGACCAACATTTAATTAAAACTCTTGCTCAAAACTCCTTTTTAAAAATATATGTAATTAATATTGTTGAGTAAGTTGTATGGTGACTTTTCCCAAAATAAATAAAAAGTAAAAAAAAAAAAATGTAACTCTTGAAATTAAAAAATTAATGTAAGAATATTTTTTATTTTTATTTTTTGGTATTCAACAACAATTAAAATAACTTATACAATTTGTGTCTAAAAATATTTGGGTTATTGGATTGGGTGTGGATTTACTTACCCATTTAACAGCCAACTCATTTATGACCCACTATAAATGAACTGATAATAAGTTGTTGACCCTTTCATGATCAGTCCATTAATAACCAGCCCAAAATCCGTCCAAACCCACCCAATTACCCGACAAAAATCCAAGACTATCCACGGGCCACAAACAATTTTTAACTTATAACAATGCAAGTCATCAAAAGAAAAGGATAAATATGACAAGGTGCACAAAAGTATAACAACACACCAATATATTGATAATTAAAACGGTACGATTACATGAGACCATGATGCATCATCATAAGACAAATTACAAATAGTGATAGCACAACACTTGACATAAACCACGATTGACACTGGAGGCACACTCATCAGGAGGCAGACAAACAGTGATAGCAGCACAACAACACTCGACCGCTAATGATATTGAAGGCAAGGCACTCTATGCCATAATAATGCAAGCGGGCAAAGCAAACTCCTATTTTTCACTTTAGCAACCACAAGGATACCTTGGTATGATGCCTTTCAAGGAGTGGAAACCATCACTAATCGGAGTGACACGATTAATTATATAATCATTTTTGGTCCCAGGGGCATAATTGATGAGAGCATAAGTGTCGCCTTTAAATATATAAGCTTCATTTTCTGCTTCAGCCGAAAATGCTGCATCTAAGCCATCCTCGAAAACTGTATCTTTAAGAGAAGGGAAACCGAGAGGAATCCTTTTGGCAGACCAAATTATGTAATCATTGGTTGTACCGGGTGCAAAATTAATAAGCGCATATTGATCTCCTTTAAATATATAGGCTTCATCTGACTTGGAGGAAGCAAAGGCGGCATCAATACCATTTTCAAAAATGGTATTTTTCAAAGAGTAGAAGCTATCTGTGATCTTCTTGGGTCCTTGAATAATGTCGCCACTCACAAAGTTGATGAGTGCATAAATATTACTTCTAAATAAATACACCTCATTTTTTGCAGAAGCCGTAAATGCAGCATCAATTCCGGAGGCAAAAATAGTATCTCTGAGAGAGGGAAAGAAGTCACCGATGCTCATGGGTCCCTTAATAATGTAGTCATTAGTTGTGCCGGGAGCATAGTTGATATGCAAGCATTGATCAGTAGTGAAAAGAAACGCCTCCTCCTTCTTGTTATTGGAGTTGAATGCACACTCGATGTAATGCCCCACATTACAACCTGGGTCAACATAAGGCTCCTCTGTAGGTGGTGTGGTGTCCTCCTCCTCCTCCTCCTCCTCCTCCTCCGCGACGTCTCTCTTTTCAACATGTGGAGCACCTACAAGTGCAAGCATATATTCATCACGTCTGGGACAGTTAACATTTCTTAGTCTATTCATAAATTCTTGAGTGGTTTGCCCACTCCTCGACGTTGGATAAGGATTGAAACGACCGTTACGGTAAATTCGATTTCCATGTCGTGTATAATTTGTGTATTGTCCAGATCCTTCAACTTCATATGGACGTGCTGATCGGATATATTGACGACTAATGCCACCTGCAAAAGCGATTTCCTGCTGATTACTATAATTATTACGGTCACCCAAGGTCAGCACGGTATCGATTCCCCCTGGAGCAAATATCTCATACCGATAAATAATGCGACGTTCGGTTGTGACCAGGGGTCGCCACCTAGTTGACCTTGTTGTGCTAACAAACACTGACCCATCGGCAGGACAGGTCTCTGACGGGGCTCCTCCTCTATTTACATGGCGCTCTAAGTTGTAGTAAGCTTCCAAACTAGTTGAACCTTGTTCTCGCGGACGAAATCCTGTTCGGAAAATCTCTCTATAGTGACGATCATCCCATCGATACACCGCCTCCACAATATCTTGGTCGTCATTAGGGTTCCGATATTCAATTCTTGGCCCTTGTCTATTGTAAAGTGTTAAACCAGTTATATTATGCTGGTATGTACGAATAGCCTCTCCAGAAGCCGGTTGGGGACACGCAGCTGCAACTCCACGATATTCTGATGTAGATGGAAGTGCCATATCTACAAGTCGAGTTAGAACCATTGCCTCAAATAATTTCTTTATTGTCAAAATAAATGAGAGACATAATGCAAGACAATCAAAAGAACATCTCAACACAATTTAAGCTCAATCGAGCTAAGGACTTCTCATAATCTATGGGCACATTGCAATTAATAGGCAGGATACGGAACTTGCACCGATCAAATTTGGCACTGTTGAATATATATATATATGCACACACGTGTGATACAGAAACAACAGGTAGTACCATGCATGCTTCCAGAATGTGCCCGTCAAATTTGATATGAATAGTTGCAACTATTCAGATGATAATAGCTACTATGCTTCTAGAATGTGATTGTTGAAGATGGTACATAACTTTTAGTTTGTATCTTTTGAATATTTTATAACAATTAAGACGACACGTCACTTCAGGTTTTCACCTTTTAGAAGTCTATAAATAGCAATGTGTTGCACATTCAATAATTCACTTATTCATGTTTTTTTTTTTTTTCATTTTTTTTTTTTTTTTTTTTTGTTTTACTAACGGCGGGAATTTAGGCTTTGCTGTATCTTGAGAGTGTTTTGCTACAAAACCCGTTAACAAAATCAGTTTAACTGGAGACAAATAACACTTTAAGAAAATGAATACACACCTCAAAGTCTGTATTTTGTTTGCGTTATCAAAGTTGCAGAAATGAACATCAAATTTCTTAAGGTCTGGTCGTCTCCAACAACGTAATCATTAGTTTTGAGTCAATTGTGTCAACTGTAACACTCCGATAATTTTAAAAGATTTATTAATTAGGATTAATTATTTTATTTTATTTTTCAATGATTTATTTTATTTTATTGAGTGCTAGATTAATTATCTTATTTTAATTAAGTTATATTTCGTGATTATGTATGATGATTGATTGTTTGTGTGGTTGATTATTGATTGAATTATTGGTATGTTGATTTTATTGGTATTATATGACTTAGTTGTAAATTCTTGTTTGTTTATGTGCTTCATGTAATTAGTTATTTTAATTTCTGTATTTAATTAATTATCTTATTTATTTAAATTAATTGGATTGGGCTTAAGGAAAGTTGGAACAAAAGATGTGGTCTTGGGCTTGTATGAAACCTTATTAGGTTAATTAATGAAGGTCCGTGATTATTTAATTATTTAAATGATCACTTTTGTATCAATTATATATATATATATATATATATATATATATAATTATATATAAATATAATTAATTAATAATTGTTATGGAAAGATATATATATAGATATATATTTATTGATATTTATAAGTATATATGATTTAATTAACTAATGAGTTAATTATGGAAGGAATATATATTTATATATATATATATGTTTATAGATATAAATTATTTAAAGATTATTATTTTAATTCATAATACTAGTTGGAATAGGATTTGGAATTTAAGGTGTATAAAAATACACATAAGGCTTTAGGGTTAAAGGTTTTACACGTTAGAAAAATAAAACAGACAGAGAGAGAGGAAGAAGAAGGGCTGACAAGGAGGAGGTCGGATCTGAAAAGGAGGACGTCGGAATTGGAAGAGATAATTAAAGCTTAAAGCGTCGGTTTCGTTTCGAAACCTTCAGGCGAGTTTTCTCTAACTTTCCTCTTAGAACTCATAAGGATTTCACCTTGAGTATCAAGGCTTTAATTAAATTTATTTGTTTAAAAATTATGGTTAGATCGGAATAATTAAAAAGTATAAACTATTATATTTGATTTTTAGATTATTGGATTTTAATTGATATATATAGGTGTTATGTATATTTTAAAATCAATCTATAGGTGGATTTGTGACCCAAGAGAGTTAATTATGGTTTCTTTATTTTCTAGAATTGTTCTGTAATTTTCTGGAATTTTTCTGATATTTTTAGGAATTTATTAGGATTTAATTTCCTATTATTTGTTAGGAAAATAATTATATATATATATATATATATATATATATATATATATATATATATATATATATATACTAGGTAACTGGCGCATGCGGAGCGGCGGCACAATAAAGAATTGATCCAGTGCGGCGCGGTGTAGGATAATAGGGTGTATACGCCAATTAGGGCCATTTGATTAATTAAACTTATGTGAATTGATATGGTGCATCGCGACGCATAAAACTTTGGTGCGCATGTGTATCTGGACCATAGAAGTGGTCTGGTCAACTATGGGATTATTTGGTGTATTGCAGACCATGAGAAGATGGTGCACTCGCTGATCTGGACCTTAGATCTATTATAGTTAATAGAAAATAATCTGGTGTGAGCGTGTTCATTTGCGCACTTATTTATGACCATTGGATGCGGCATAAAGGAAGTGATGGATTCAGTGTGGTGAGCTCACGGTAGCTGAAAGAGCTTAGCCAATACCAGCACACAAGGAGGCTTGAATCCAGCGCGTGCAAGTGCATAGTAAGCACGTGGGCGTGCGTGGGAAACTATGTTGGCCTAATTCGACACTAGAAATTAAAACGGTCATAACTTAGTCATTTTAAATCGAAATTGGGTCATTCTTGAGCTCAAATTCAATGATTTTTCGTCTTCTTTCCAATGGTACCAATTTCATTATCAGATTCCCATCCTACTAGGAGATATTTATGTTTTAGTGAGAAAGTGTCGGAAAACTGTTTAAACCAATATGGAGTATTTAAAGGAAACTATTTCTGACATATTTAGTTGCACTAATTTGTGTAAATATAATAAATTAATAATTTGTTATGGAAGGAAGTGTATATATATATATATATATATATATATATATATATATATATATATATATATATATATATATTTAAACCAATATGTATATATATATATATATATATATATTTATGTTTTAGTGAGAAAGTGTCGGAAAACTATTTAAACCAATATGGAGTATTTAAAGGAAGTGTATATTATTTATATATTTACACATATATAAATAATTATATATATATATATATATATATATATATGTATGTATGTATGTATATTGATTTTAAATAATCAAGGATTATTAAAGAAGGTGTTAAACACATATATACATTAAATAACATATGTGTAGGTATATATATATATAAATCATTTAAGATGATTAATATTATCATTCTTATTTGGCATATCTTAATAGGCTGGTTGTTAAATTAATGATATGCGTATAATATGCATGTGATGGCTATGTATGATTTAGCGTATTGTTAATTTTAAAGTTAATTCATGGTTAAAGTGTGGGCATGGATGAATTGTCAAATGATTAAATATATTACCTAAATATTTGTATGAATAGAATACATATATGGAAAGCATGGATGAATTGCTAATTAAATGTATGAATAAATATACCTGTGGAGGCATGGTTGAATTGCCAATGTATAAATATACATACACGGAGGCATGGTTGAATTGCCAATGTATAAATAAATATACTTATGGAGGCATGGTTGAATTGCCAATATATAAATAAAAATATTTACAATGGCATGGTTGATTTGCCAAAGCATAATTACGTTGTTATGTGTTAGATGATTAAAATATCATCTATGGTTGTTGTATGTATGGATTGGATTAGGGTTAGATATTCTTAAATGAGAATAGTTTAGTACTTACTGATTAGTGTATTATTTTACATTAATAAAATAATATTGGGGAAGACGTGGATGATTTGTCAAAACTTGGATTTTGGATATGTGATTTAAACAATTAAAATCATTATCGGGTTGGGATTAAATAGAGTATTTCTTTTATTATAATTTGTTGTTTAAATGATTAAACAACTGACTAGGATGGGATTAAGGTCAAAGGAGTTTTTATAAAATGAAATGGTAGATTGGTCTAGGTATGAATATTATTTTAATAATTATTTAATAGGTATGGAAATTTAATAAACCTATTAATGGATGTGATTAGTATAGTATATATAATTATATATAGACATGTATATCGTGCTTTATTAAAGTTAAAACTTTATTAGGTTTGGTTTTGATCAGAGATGATCTGCTTATTGGTTTTCAGAGGCCTGGTAGAGTGAACTTGCTCGTAGGGTTTAACCCACGATTTATTTTTCAGGTTATTAGAGGTTCCAGTCTCGAGGTTGAGGATCCGCAGCTGGGAGACTGTCATTCGTCTATTCATCTTGTGTACTTTTAAATAGTATTGGATTATTGGATAATGTTTTAAGGGGTCCTTGAGTTATGGGATTTCCGAATTGTAATTGTTGGAGAATCATTAAGTAATATTTATTTATTAGTTGTCTTCAGCGGTTTATTTATTCTTTATTATTCATCTTTGTATTCTGTGCTTGTTAAATACTTAAATTGTTTTGATATCCCTTGATTTTGTGCGCGGACTTGATCAATCCGTGTTCCAAAATTAGGGGGTATCACATCAACCATCTTAAAGTGTTATTAGGATGGAGACTATATCAGACAACACTTTGTTCAAACTTATGAATAAGACTTTGTGAAGACAGATAGATTTGATGGATCTAACTTTACCCGTTGGTAGGATAAATTAATTTTCCTACTCACTGCTCTCAAAATCTCATATGTTCTGGATTCAAATCTCTGATCATTCCCAGAGCCAGCAGATAAAGATACATAGAAGATTATTGAGATCTCTATACTGCTATGAAGTCTCCTCGAGAAATTTGGAATGTACTAGAATTCAAGTACAAAATAGTTACGAATAAGTTTGTAATACTTAAGTACTTTTTAGATCAAGTTCATAAATTGTAAGTTCTAGTCACAAACCTTCATGGAGTGAAAATTGTACTTCCAGAATTCTTCTAAGCGTGGGCTATCAATTCATAGTTGCCTCCTAGTTAGAATGATTATAGAAAGAAACTTCTGTATAAGACAGAACAATATATTTACTTTGGAAGAAATACAGAAGCATTTGCGAATTGAAGAAGAAACTCGAATTCTTGATAAGAAATATTATGTTAAAGATTCTTCCAAAGTGAATTATGTGGATAGAGGAAAATCAAAAAAATATAAAAAAGAGTCTCAAGTTGAAAAACAAAGGAACTTTCAAAAGGAATGATCCTTATAAGAATAAAAATCCTCCTAGACCATGTTTTCAGTGTGGAGAGAAATGACATTTTATTCGTGATTGTAGGTACAAGAAGTATGAACAAAAAGAAAATGCCAATAAATCAAATAGCGCTAATGTAATAGAAAAAAATATTTCTGATCTTGTTGTTATGGTGCCTGCAATACAAATTGGCATGATAACTGAATTAAACATGGCAACAGTAACTAAGTCTTTAGATCGGTGACTTGATTCTGAGGCTATTATGCATGTTTGTAATGATAAATCACATTACAAGACTTGTGAATCTGTGGATGATCAAGAAGTTTTTTTCCAAAGTTTTGGGAAAAGGGAATGTTGAAATTCAATTTACTTTAGGAAATAAATTAACATTGCAGAATGTTTTTCATGTCCCATAAATTAGAAAGAATTTTTTATCTACAAATTAATTTGTTATGTAAGAGTGGTATTACGGCGCGCTATGTTAAAGGCTGATAAGTTAATTCTGACCAAGAACGGAATTTTTTTAGGAAGGGTAATTCTTGTAATGGAATGTTTAAACTAATTTTTAATAAAATAAGTCATTCTACTTATATTGTTTGGTCTCTTATATTTGGCGTGCACATTTAGTACATTTAAATTTTAGATTATTAAAGTATATATCAAAGCTGGTTTCATTTCTTGTAGTGATGATTGCAATGATAAATGCAAAATTTGCATTGAATAAAAAATTAATAAGAAACATTTTCCAAAAGCCAATCAAAATTCACAACTATTAGAAATAATTCATTTGACAATTGTGAATTAAATAAAAATTTAACTAGAAGATGAAAAATATCCATTATAACTTTTATTGGTGACTGCTCTAAATTTACTAATATATATCTAATGGCTAGTAAAAATCAAGCTTTTGACATGTTTAAATGTTATAAGACTGAGGTTGAAAATCAAAAGGAAAATAAAATAAAAATTATTCGTAATGATAGGGGTAGTGAATATTTTTTAATGAATTTTCTGCTTATTGTGAAGAAAATAGAATAATACATCAGAAAAGTTCACCTTATACTCCACAACACAATGGTTTGGCTGAAAGAAAAAATAGGACACTTGTTGATATGGTTAATTATATGTTATTGGATACTAAATTACCTATAAATCTATGGGGTGAAGCTATACTTATTGCTTGTCATGTGCATAATAGAATTCCATCTAGAAAAACACATATCTCACCCTATGATATTTGAAAAGGAAAAAAACCAAACTTAAAATATCTTAGAGTACGGGGGTGTTTAGCATTTTATAGAATTCATAATCCAAAGAGAACCAAATTAGGTGGAAGAGGAATAAAAAGTGTTTTTGTAGGTTACGCTAAAAATTCTAAAGCCTATAAACTATTAGACTTAAATTCTAATGTCATTGTTGAATCTAGAGATGTTGAATTTATAGAAAATCAATTTTGTTATGGTTCTTTGTCTGGACATATTCAAAGAAAATCTAATGATTTGGAATCTAATACATCTCTTAGAGACAAAAGGAAAACAAATGATGAAATGACTATACCTAGCAAAAGTTAGAGAATTAGTAAAACGCTTTAGATCCTGATTTTATTTTATCTTATGCTATAATATTTTTAGTATAGGGAGATAGAAATAAAGTTCTTAATAAAATACCCATTTTATTGAAAAAAGAAGATGATCCTAAAACATCTTTTGAAGCAACGGCTTCAAGAGATGCAGTTTTTTGGAGAGAGACTATAAATGATGAAATGCATTCATTGTTGTCAAACCAAACTTGGGTTTTGGTTGAATTACCACAAGAATCAAAACTGGTGAGTTGTAAATGGGTATTTAGGAGAAAATATAACACAGATGGGTCTATTCAAACATTTAAAGCTAGATTAGTATCCAAGGGTTTTAAAGATAATAAATGAATTGATTATTTTGATACTTATGCACCTGTGGGTAGAATTGCATCTATTAGAGTTCTTATGGGTTTGACTTCTATTTAATATTTACTTGTGCATCGAATGGATGTGAAAATTGCATTTTTAATTAATGGTGATCTTGAGGAAGAAGTATATATTGAACAACTAGAAAGGTTAGTCTTACGTGAAAATAAAAGGAAAGTTTGCAAATTAGTAAAGTCACTCTATGGTTTAAAACAAGCACCAAAGCAATGGCATTAGAAATTTGATTATGTGATACTAGCTATCATTTGATTTTTATGTATAATAGTGTTGATAAGTGCATTTATTCTAAATTCACAAATGATTATGGTGTTATTATTTGTCTTTATGTTGATGACTTACTAATTTTTGAAACAAATATGAGAAGTGTTCCTAAAACGAAGAAGTATCTAACTTCATGTTTTAAAATAAAATATCTTAATAAAGTATATATTATCTTAGGAATTAAATTAAAGAAACATGAAAATGGGTATGCATTGTGTCAATCTCGTTATATTGAAAAGATTCTTTTTAATATAATTATTTTAGAATTAAAGAAACTAGTACCCCTTATGATTCAAGTATTAAAATGTTTAAAATTTTGGCAGAGCAGTTGCACAGCTTAAGTATGCTAGTTTTATAGGTAGTATGATGTATGTTATGCATTGTACAAAGCCGGATATAGAATTTACTGTGTGCAAACTTTTTAGGTACACAAGTAATCCTAGTACAGTTCATTGGAAAGCAATTTTTAGAATCCTTAGATATCTTAAGGGGACGGTGGAACAAAGACTATTTTATTATGATTTTCCAATAATACTAGAAAGATACACAAATGCTAGTTGGATTACCAGTGCGAGTGATAATAAGTCCACGTCTGGATGGATATTTACAATTGGTGGAGGAGTCATTTCTTGGGCATCTACGAAACAGACGTGCATAACACATTCAACAATGGAATTTGAGTTTATTGCATTAGCAACAACTGGTAAAGAAGCAGAATGCATATGAAATTTGTTATTAGATATAGAGTTGTGGCCACAACCAATGTCATTTATTTCTTTGCATTGTGACAATGAGACGACTATATCTAGAGCATATAGTAAAATATATAATGGAAAGTCTAAACATATCAGTTTGAGACATGACTATGTTAGACAATTAATAAATGATAGAGTTATTAACATAATAGATGTTAAGTCAAGTAATAATCTGACAGATCCTCTTACTAAGAGTATATATGTTAAGGGATTCGAGGAATTTGGCAAAAATTACGTCTAGTGGAATGAGGTTGAAACCCTTTCTTAAAAATCACTAGTAAAGGGACCTGACTTTGTACTAGAATACCACTAGTCCAAAGTTTAATGGGTGATAAAAAGTTACTAATAAGTGGTTGTATAAGCATTGAAAAAAAATTAATTATAAACTGCCCCTTCCGGGATGTTTAGTGCAGACTACTACGATTTGAGGATGAGTAATATACTCTTAAAGAAGTTCAAATTATGGGAAGTGTCTAAACTAGTAGGGACACTTATTGGTACTTCTCCTATATGAACATAGAAGTGGTACTGCTTCTAACAAGGGTTATTAGGGTTTACTCTTATAAATGTTCGGATTGGGCACAAGACCTTAATAGTGCTAAAGATATAAACATCTCATATAAACTGGATAGAATTATGTGTGTGGTATTTTCGATTTTAATATTAAGGAGACTTGGGTTTAGCTAAGGCTACCATTGTTTTTCATTAAAACTTTGAAATACTTACACTAATTAAAGTTTTAAAATGAGAGATATATTCTTGCATGCGTGATACTATCATGTTGACTAGATACTTGATATATTACAATATGGTGGGGGATTGTTGAATATATTGTAATGTGTGTGTGTGTGTATGAGAGAGAGAGAGAGAGAGAGAGATCTTTGCTTCTAGAATGTGCCTGTCCAACTCAGTTTTTTTTCCCCTTCTTTCTTCTGTTTTTAGCAACATGTAATCGACAATAAATAACATTAAAACCATGTATAATTTGATTCTTTCTCAACCACCTATTGATTTTGCCATATAGTATTCCAGTGGAATATGGAAAATTTAGTGAATGTCGGAGTTCAAGTAATTTAAGATTTTCAAAGATTATAGTTTGTTTTTTCTATGTGTGTATATATATATGCATATGTTTGTGTGTCAATTCCTTCCAACAAAATTTCGTTCATCAAATCTTATGAATTCCTTGCAACAAAATTCCTTTCACGAAAGTCTTATCAGTGAAGGACTTTTAATATGAGAAGGTTCCCCAAACGGGCTCTATATATATATTTATAAATAAAACTGACTTTTTCAAGAAATTTTTTTTCTACATATATATATATATATATATATATATATATATATATATATATAATTTATAAAACGACCAACAGTTATAAACAGTTTTATATTGTTTTAAATCATAACCGAATAAACCATGAAATAACCGAACCATATTTATCGGTTTGATTTGATTTATTTTTTGTGCACGTGCAGGTGATAAATTATTTCAAGATGCGCCGGTGCCGTGTTGTCCCCAATTTTATCAGATACCCTGTTCCAAAGCACCGTTGCGTTGCTTTCTTTCATTCCATTGAGATCTTCTCGAACTTTCTCTCTCTAAAAGTAGAAAATACAGAAAATGATGGACAAGTCCAACTCCTCAGTTATTTTTATTTATTTTTTATTATTTTTTTTTTCCTTCTGTCCTCTGCTTTTAGAGAACATGTAATTGACAATCAATAACAACATTAAAAACATGCATAGAATTATTTGATTCTTTCTCAACCACCTGTTGATATTGCCATATAGTATTCCGGTGGAATATGGAAAATTTTAGTGAATGTAGGAGTTCAAGAAATTTAAGATTTTCAAAGATTATATAGCTTTTTTTGTCATGATTATGAATTCCTTTCACAAAGCTACTCAAACGGAGCCACATATATATATATATATATATATATATGTATGTATGTCAAAGCTCCTTTTTATATAACTGACTTAAAAAAAATAAAATAAAATAAAAATTGTAACCCAACAAACTAAAATAATTTGACAATTTGTGTTTAAAAATATTCGAGTTGGATGTTGGTTGACTTAACCCATTTATGACCTGTTAATAACGGTTTATCAAAACCCTCCTAAACTCACCCAATTGCAGGGTGTTTGAAGATGATGATGACAAATCATATGCTATAGTGAAATCTGAGTGGAAGAACCATCAAGATAATCTAAAAATGATAAGAAAAATGTGCCTTTTAAAAGTAAAATATTTTAGTATGCACTTAAAGTAATTTGCGAATTAAGACTTGACATATCTAAGAATGATGAATATAACTTCCACAGCCTTCGCGGTTCCTCTCGTACATTATTTTTCAAATTATCTAATCTAGTGAAGGCTAAAAGCTCAAGCGTGTTATCATAAATCAAAGTACAACACTAACACAGGACGACAAATTTATCATAAATCGAAGTACAACACTAATTTCATCATTCAAAATTATCCTTCAGAAAAAGTTTTGGTTCACCGATATATTAAGACAATATCATATCGAAGAACTAATTATCATATGATTTTTTGATAAAATCATTGAAAATTAAATCACGCCAAGTCATAGAAATAAGTAAAAAAAATTCAACTAATCACATGTATGACTTTTGTGAATCAAGTACAGATTTGAATTAATACCTTGTATCAGATGTATCGTACTGAACAGCTGAGAAATATATGAGACTGTTTAGACGTAAAGTGGTGGTGATGCAAGGTCAAGGTGAAGGTCACGCTTATTTATAGTGTGTTTGGACGGGTGAGATGAATTGTAATCACGTGGTTCACATTGAGTGTGTGGGTCGGCTCCTAAGATATTTTTTGCGAAGTCGGTTGGCAAATAAACTATTGACACGTATTCGTGCTTTTAGACGTAGAGTGGTGGTGGTGATGCAAGGTCATGGTTCACGAGTGTGTGGGGGCGGTGGGTCGGCTCCCAAGACGAGACAAAGTAGAGTTCGGTAGGAAAATCTTTACAAAGTCTGAACATGACGGAAGTGAGGCCCATATTTGTGGACTTTGGATTGTCCTGTAACAACCAGATATATATTGTATATATATATATATATATTTTAATTTTTGAATTCATGTTTATCCATATAATATATATCTATGTGGAATTATGAGGGTTATCGTATAATGAAATTTGAGAGATATAGGCTATCAGTTTAGTTGATTTTTTTTTTTTTTTTAAGAGTCCATATAGAACTCAACTACTAGATATATATCTAAACTTGGTGTATCGGCATTATTTTTTTTTATGGGCAATACTATTCTGTGAGTAACGAAGAGACGCAATACTATTCTGTGAGTAACGAAAGGGCTTAGCCAGATTCCATTGTCAGGCAAGTTAATTCTTGGTTATATTTCTTTATGTATATTTTTGGTGTGGTTATTATCATGAATGTTTATGATTTAAATATAGATCAAGTGGGAATTGATTTTAGTCTGAGCTTTGGAGATTGCATATGTAAGTGTAGAATTAAATTGATAATAAGGAACTATATGATGTTTTATACTGTTTGCGAGGTTTATTAATTTACTAGTGGATTTATACAACAGTTCAATAATGCAATGTGCAAGTGTATGGTTACGGTGTAGTTTTCAATCATATTAAGATTGTTAGTTTTATATTAAGTTTGATAGATGAACTTAGTTTTTCTTTATATAGTCATGAATTAGTGTGAGCCAATTAATCATGATTGGGAGTACATATTAGCTGGTTATACTGGTTTAGAAAGTTGTCATATGTGTCATCTGAATTGTAAGATACCATACTAGGTAGGGTAGCAAAACCGATTTAGAAAATAGCTCAGTGATTATGTTAGAATGTTGTCCGGGTAAGTACTAGCCATTATTGAATGAGTCCAGATCAAGAATTGGGAGCTTCAGTAAGAAACCATAAGCTAGTAGTAGGCTTTACAACAACTAAATACTTGGGATTGATGCAAGTGAGTGCAGTAAATGGCGAAAACAAAATAAATGGTAATGATTAGTTGAACTATTGATTTAGTTAGGCACGATCCAGGACCTGCCCATCGCGAGTGTGTTTTTATTGTTATGGTCAGTTATATGTATGTATGTATGTATGTGTGTGTGTGTGTGTGTGTGTGTGTGTGTGTATATATATATGTATATCTTTTTTTTTTTTACTTATGTCAGTAGGTGCAGAAGAAGTTTAAGAAATGCAAGTGACCTATTAATTGGAGTAATGAATGAATTAAATTTAGATTAAGGATGAAGGTGGTGTTGGCAGTAAATGGGTTGTGAGGTTTTGCATGTCATGAATTAATACAGTCATTGATATATATATAATTTTTCTTTAAGCCCATAGTTACTGGTACATATTGGAGCCATTAGAATTAGATATTTAAGGTTGGTTTTATGTTGATGGCAGACCTTAAATTTGTTGGTATAGCAAGTAGTATACAAATTTAATGATATTGAAGTTGAAATTTAGAGTATAGGTTACAACCTAATGTAATTAGGGCTATGAGTTGGTATATTGGTATTTATTAATTAATAAATTAATTATTAATTATGGTATTGGATAAACTCATAATATTATGAGTGGGAATTGTTTAAATATATTTAGTGTTTAATTGAAGTGATTAAACAAGTTGGAGCAGTAGTGGTCTGGGACTTACACGATGATGAGTTTGTTGAGCGCAGTCGGGGACTGTCTACGGGAGTGAATTACTCTTTTGTTATGGCCATTGGGCTAAAGGTGCCCTTAGTATGTGGACGTGGTCAGGGGCCATCTGGGTGAGTAGACGTACAACCTAGCCACATGTGTGTATTTGGTAGTCAGGGACTATGCAATTCACACCATTTATTCGGAGTGGAGCCAGGGGCTCATGTGAGGTAATGGCATTAAAACGCCAACTGATTGAGGGGAGCCAGGGGCTCATGTGAAGTAAGTGGGAATTTTAGTAATTTAAATTCTAGATGGGTTACAATTTCACAGGTTGAGTTAATATTATAGAATGACGATGATTAGTAGATATTTCGCGGTCACTTATATATGTATATATATACGGATTTTAAGTAAGGATTAGCTTGCTGAACGATGATAGTGTTTAGCAATTTCTTGCTGAGCTTGTGAGCTCACCCCTTTATTACTTTCAGGTGCATATGGATTAGCTTGCAAAGGAGGCTCAGTAAGAGAAGGAGATTTCCGGATTTCTACATTATGATTTTATTATTGTTTCTTAGTGAACACTTTGTAATAAGATTCACTTAGTTGGTGGAATTTTGAATTAGTTGGGGATGTAATAAATTTCATTTGGATTGATAGATTTTTGAATAAAAAATGTTTTCTTATTGATTTAATCATGGATTATGGTGGATGAATGATGTAAGTCACATACCAAGTTTTAGTATAAGACAAGGGTTCTTGTGTTAGAGTGTGTGGGTCGGCTCCTAAGATATTTTTTGCCAAGTCGGTTGGCAAATAAACTATTGACACGTATTCGTGCTTTTAGACGTAAAGTGGTGGTGGTGATGCAAGGTCATGGTTCACGAGTGTGTGGGGGCGGTGGGTCGGCTCCCAAGACGAGACAAAGTAGAGTTCGGTAGGAAAATCTTTACAAAGTCTGAACATGACGGAAGTGAGGCCCATATTTGTGGACTTTGGATTGTCCAGAAGTTGATTTTATTTCAGGGAGAAACTTGCAATTTTTTTTTGTTGGTCATGTGGTTGCCAGAGAGATTTCTCTGGGAAAGATTCTCCATTGGTAATTCCAAAATAGAAAGAATCTAAATAAAGGAGTATACGCGGGAAGGGGGCAACACTACTTTTTCATTCGGGGGGGAGACTAGCCTCGTTACTTTCCACTGGGCGAGAGGTGCACCTAACCCACTTACCCACTCATCAATCACGGTGTTCAGCTGACTTGCACTGATAGACCCCTATTGTATTGGAATTAGGCGCCCATCTTTTGACTGTTGTCAACTAATCTATGTCATTTTCGATTCCACTCTATGTTAGAACATTTTTGTGAATGCTATTCCGATCTAAGTGGTCCTATTTTGTGTCCTGTGCTAGGAAGCATGACTCCTCTTTTCATTCCAAATTCAAGAATACGATACGATTAATTAGTCTGTGCACCTCTCTTCTTACTTTTTTTTGTTTCCCCTTGTTCTTCTGATACAATTCGATCATTCTATGGCCAAATCTCAATTTGTGGAAAGCCTTTGATGGCTTCCTTATGAAAACATCCATTTTTGATTTATATATATATATATATATATATATATATATATTTACAGTTACATACAAGTAAAATTTAATTTAAAATTAATATTCAACAAAGTAATTAAATAATTATTTTCTCAAATTATAATTAAAATTTATTTCTTAAAATAATCACACTGATATATTAATTAATGATCAATGAACATAAAATTGATACAGGTTAAAAGAGATAAAAGTAGCAATTTTGAATTCAAAGTTTCAATAGAAATTCAATTATTGATAGATGTATTTTAAAACTCCTAAAATAATATTAAAATTAATTAATTAATATTACGCAATAGCTTAAAACAGGCCAAAATTTTGAGAATGTAACATATTTTGTTAATGATAAAGTTACTCTCAAATATTATATTTTTAGGTTCTCTATCACTTGTTCAACTCTTGAAATTAAACGTATTGATGCTACTTTTACTTTTAGTTTACTCCAATTTCTCAAATGTTTCACTCTTCCTCTCAAATAGTATAAATATAAATAATATTCAACAAAATATAAATAAATATATATATATATATATATATATATATATATATATGTATACTGCATGGTTCACTCAAGTTTATAATCAATAAGCATGCAATGAAACCCTCACACCATTGTTATGATGCAAATCTACTATATAAATAAAAATTGAATGATTTGTGTGTGAAATTTAATCTCTTTCTCATAAATATTTCATTTTCATACGTTATTCATTTTATATGTTGATTTTGAAATTTTTATGATAAGTTTTGACATTAATATCCATTATTAAATTGATATATTTCTTTGGTGAAATTTATTATTATTATTATTATTATTATTATTATTATTATATATATGTTTATGTTTTAATATAGTATCTTTTATAATAATATTATGTGTAGATTTAAAGCAAAAATGCAATATATACAACATTTAGATTTCAGCTTTTGCATTTAACAAACATCTTAATGAATTCAGTACTTAAAATTAATACAATATCAAACAAGTTTACAGATTAATATATTCAGCACTGAAAATTTTAGCGCTTAAATTTTAGTACTTGAAATTTTCAGTGCTTAATTTTCATGTTTATCAAACAGCACCTAAATTTTCGGAATAAGATACCCGGTTGCACCGAGTACTTTCAATGGTTATACTGTCAATTAGATTACAAATTAACAAGTATAACCCCAACCAATCAATTATTAATAATCACACTTCAACCCACTTTTAAAAATTATAGTGATATAAGACCACAAAAATAATTTTATTTATTTCATATACACTCTATTACTGTTATGCTGCGTTTGGTGTGCAAGAATGGAATTGAATGGAATGTAATTGGAAACTGAATAAGAATGGGAATGGAATGGAATGATCATTCTCATTCCATTGTTTGGTTGTAAATATGAAATATGTAGGAATTGAATGATAATAACAATTCCAGTGTTTTATTGGATCAATTTAAAATTTAGAATGAAATAAATTA